ATCCAGCACTTTTTAAAATTACACTAGGTCGGAGAGCAGTGGCAGCCCATCCCAGAGCAGCAGAAGGGGAAGGTTGCATGTGGCAGCTGCTGGTGCCATCCAGCATCCTGCATCGCTGCTCCATGTGAGGCCGCTGCTCCAGGACCAGCCGCCGCTACCCGCTCTCCTCCCCTGCTCTGGGACTGGCTGCTGCTCCGGTTTCAAAAATCTGGAGTTTACAAATTTCCGGCAGGTGCTCGGTCCCGAGCATGCCGGATTCATGAGGTTATACTGTAATTAGTTTTCTGTGACCTAATAGAGCTGCACCTGTAGACGTGACATGTTTACTGCAGAGCTAATTAGTCTACTCCACAGGACACATCTCATGTAGATGTGCCTGCCTTGTCATTCATCATGGCACCATGAAGGATTATTTAGTGTTTGTTTCGCAGGCATTGATAATAATGTTGCATTTCTTCAGATTGGCCTTCAAGGTCTTCTTGAATCTTTTATTTTTATTTTATTTTATTTTATTTTTTGCCCACCTCAAGAGCACTCAGTAGTGCTGAGTTAGGATCTGTTTTGGGAACTGGTTGTCATGACTCGTCCTGTCCAACAGAGTTGCTGCTGTATAAACATGGCTTCAATGCTAGTGGTGTTTGCTGAAGCCAGAACACTAGCATTCATTCTTTTGTCCTTCCGATTTGATATGGGGACATTGTTGATTGTGGCAATTGTCATGTGCGCCCACTCAGTTGAAGAGCTCCACGTCACTCTTGGTTGCTTCTGTGACGCATATGACGTACTTGGACTCGCTGTCAACTTCATGAAAACTAAGATCCTTTACCAGCCCACCCCATGCCAACCAGCAACTCCTCGGCATATCCTTAGACAGCCATCCTTGGAGAGAAAGCTGACCGTTCCCTGCTTGGCCAATTTTCCCAAGAAGTAAACATAGACAGTAATATTCAACGCCAGATAAGATCAGCTATCTTTTGGATGTCTCCAAAATAGTATCTTTGATTGTGACACAAGGACCCAAACCAAACTTCTCGTCTGCCAGGCCGTTGTCATCTCTACCCTGTTATATGGGCGTGAAACTTGGACAACTTATCAGAAACATCTGAAAGCTTTCGACTATCACCATCAGCAATGTTTTTGGAAAGCCCAGCTAGAACATGGGTGGAAGTCTTGGTGGTTTGTGGTAACACCTTGACAAAGCCTGTAGAAAGGAAGAGCTGGCAGTAGCAGAGCCTTTGGTATTGCAATGTATTCCAGCCGTTCTGTCGATACTCCTGCCTCCTGCCAGCTCATTCTTCCTCTTCTGCTGCTACTTCCTGAAAATTTCTCTCTTCCACCTTTATGTGCTCTCGCTCAGCAAGCTCAGAGTGAAAGGGGTAAAAAAGAAAATGTCTGAGCAAACGCCCCAGTGAACTCCCTACTCAAACTCCCCTGTTTGGTGGTCTGGGTATTTCTGGCTCTTGTGTGCAGCCTTTCGGGCTAAGCCAGCCTTTTCGCACCACTATCAGCTGCTGGGCATGGCAGCTCAGAACATGCCTTTTGCTCACTCCCCCAAGCAACCTTGCTGAATCGTTCTGAAACTGAAGCTACGCCACCGAGCCCAAATAAAATGTGTGTGGAGGGAAAATACCCTTCCTTAGTGCCATAATAATAAGGCAATGGAATAAGCTGCCTTGTTGAACTGAAGAATCTCCTTCATTGGAGATTTTTGAGCAGAAGCTGGATAAATATTTTACAGGGCATTTTAAGGAATGATTCATCTGCATTTGTGCAAAACTAGAGGACCATTCTTGCCTTTTAGTAACACCACAAAATCCTTGTAGCATAAAATTCCAACCAAAACCTATAAAAACCAAAAATAGTGAGTCAACAACACCTTCCCTGAATTATCACATTCTCTTGCTGGGTAAATTGTCAGGTAACTTTATACATGTGCATATACATATAAATATACCATTCTATATACCTACATATGTATGCTCTAATGCCTTTACTTTGCTGTGTTACGCTTCCTTGTAAATGGTGCACACGAGATCTTTGGCTCTATCCCCAAAGACAAACCTGCTTGAAAGATGCATACATTTTTTGATTTCTGTATGAACAAAAACAGAACCATCTTAACCACACAAAAAAAGAAAGAAAAAATAAACCATTGCCTCTTCATTATTTTTTTCTTCAATCTAGTGAAATTCCCATATTCCCACCAGCTCCTCTCTGAAATCTTTAAACAAGAAATTGTCAAATATTTCAGACATTCCTTCAAAACCTCCCTTGCCAAGGGGCAATCCATTAAACAAGGCTTCTGTGACTCCTGGACATAGTTTTATTCTTGGACAGGTTCTTTCCTCCTTAGGAGGATGTATCCATACATCTTTGAAAGATAGTTTTCCATGCATTACTAATGATACTGTTTCTTTATACTTTATACTTACTGGATGAGTCTCCACATGTGCTTTAGTGTGCCTATTTTACTGCGCAATAAAGCATCACATAAAAAACTGTGCAGTTACACCAATATGCAATAAAATTGGCTACTGTGCATTAAGCTTCACTTAAAAAATGTGCGCTTTTGGTACTGCATATTAGGGCAGCCTAATGCACATGTACGTAGGACCTCATATTGAAGGTACTAAATTTAACATGCATTAGGAAAAGTGCATTAATGCACTTGTAGACATGCCCACTGAGTAGCTGATCTGATCTCTGCAGTTGTAAGGCTTTAGAACTAGACTAAAGCGCCTGGTCTAGATTGTCTAGCACCTGCATTAAATATCCAAAATGCTAGCATCTTTTGATATAATCCTTCCCATGTGTTACTATTTCAATACCTCATTCCACAGTACATATTAGTCAAATAAGTTAGAAAAGTCTGTCTTGCCCCTCTACAACTGTCTTATTGTACCATTTAGCTACCATCCATTCTGCTCTGCCTTCCCAAGAGGAGCTCACTATTCTTTCTCATAGCCCAGCCTGGACTAGACTGCACTGTGCCCAATCACCCTACTCAAATTCTTCCAGTAATTTACAGACTCTCTGAAAATAGTGAACACACAGAGGTATCAAGTTTTTTTAGTGACTAAATCCAAGGCCCCTGTGCTCCTTCCTTCCTTCTCATCACTAATGAATGCTTAAAGAATATTGCATTCTCTTCCACAATACTAAAAGAAAACCAAACAAGCATACAAAACCTTTATCACTTCCATATTAAAGACTTTTTTTTTTTGCAAAAATCTTATTGGTCTAATAAAAGAGATCACCTCTGTCCATGAGCCCTGATTTGCTTTTTCCTCTACACCAATACGGCTACAACTTGGATACCGATCACTTCTATTGGGGCCTGTCTTAAAGGTATTCAAATTCTTTGCTTCTACTTCTTGGCTTGGAACTCCCTGGGCTCCAGGACTGCACTAAAGCAATGACTCCAGTCTTAGGGCTTAATGCTGGCACCACCCCTCTTGGATCGTCTGGCCCTCAGGAAATCTCATGAGCTGGCTCCAACCTGTGGGACGTCCCATGATCCAGATTTGACCCATAGGGCCAAATGAGTTTGATACCTAGGACGTGGATTTAACCCAACAATTCTGACATCAAGGCCAATAACTTGCATGTCTGTTAGGAAGATATCTAGTCACCTAAAACAGTTGTTCAAGTCTGTTGAGCACGAGCACTTCCAAAGCAAAGTCCAAAACTTGTCATGGCTTCTAACTGTTGAAGAGGCTCTACTCATGGAGGAATCAGTGTTCAGCATATAACAAATGACAAAACCTGTTGTGCGTCATAAAAGGCAAGGTTTTCATTTGGCACAGAGGGTAGTGAATAACTAGCATTAGAAGAATTAATATGTATGTTATCCACCAAAGACATAAAGCAAGAACAAAGAGCAAGCACCAGTTAAGGGTTAAAAATGTAGGACTGAAATGCATGCCCCAAGCATGGTTTTATTAAAGTAGGAGATGGCACTCCTCCTTAAAACAAACACGCAAACCCACAGTTCTACCCCACACAGGAAATCCTTTCAATTATTTTGGCTCGCCTGTGGTTCTGAAGAAAGCCTGCTGATGATACCAGGAGGAGATTTAACGTTGGTTACAGCACAAGGGTTAGGGAACTCCCAGCCAAAAACTGCCGAGTGGCATGTGAGATAAGTGACACTCACTAATGCCTGCTGACTTTTCTCAGAGCTGTAAAACATGCCATCTGGGTTTGTAATCCTTTGGGGTCAGTATGTTGTAACTGTTTTTACAAAACTCGCTGAGAAGAGATCCTTTACGCTGGGCTCTATTAAAATCTTTGCTTACACAGGTGAAAAAGCTAGCAGTGGTATCTGGCTCCCATGGTTCAGGATGGGGGAATAGCTGAGCTTCCAGCAGAGGGGGAGAGTAGGGGATGGGAGATGGATTACAGATATCACACTGATACATCCTTGGCTTGGACTGGCTAGGAAGCCTGACCCCAGCAGATGGACGTCTCAGTAATACAGACGGTTCCTTCAAGCCCTGCCTCAGGGTTGTGAGTTTTCCAGAGGAAATGTGAAAAATATTGAGAAAATATTTTAATATGGCCCAGCCTGAAATGCTGGCATTATGGTTATGGCCATCGCAAACCCTTATGTAAGCAAAAGTGGGGTAGAAATTATGCCCTTCAGCCCTGAATTTTAAGCTTGTGCCCTTGAAGGTGCTCAGTCTGCTGGGCTGGCGAGGCCTTTCCATCTGCACCCCTCCAGCAGATGTTACACAGTGCTCCTCAGCAGGTCCAGCAGCCTCTGAAGCTGTCCTTTCCATCAGTCAGCTTGGTTTCAATCTTCTGAAGAGAAATGTTAATTCTCACTAGTCTTGACAGCCAAGAAAATGCTTTTTGCATAGGTTAGCACCATAAAAACAACGTTGTAGACATGGTGCAGCAGCTTTTAGCACAGAACTAAAGAAAATAGAGTTGGAAAGTCTGAGGCTAGTACAACATGGCAACGTTGTGCTAATCACTGTCTTCTTTCTTCCTTCCAGCAATTTGCAGGCACTCCTGTGGTGATGGATTTTGCTCACGGCCAAATATGTGCACGTGCTCCAACGGGCAGCTTTCTACCAATTGTGGTTCTTCTGGAGGTAAGAGAACATCGCTAACGTTGGCCCTTTTCTTGAATGGTTGTTGGTTACCTCTAAGATTTCCTAGCCAGACCTGAGTGAAATTCCTTCCCTGAAATATTTTGTGTTCCTGGGATTACAGGTTATGATCGAAATGTAACAGTACCGGTAAATCCTAGCAGTGTTCTTGCTGATGATGGGTCCTTTGTTATCTTCTTTTGCTCGAGTAAAATTGATCAATCTGTTTGTAATTTTGGCCACTCTTCAATAAGCCCATTGTGGTCCTACAGGTACCTCTTGCAGCCAGTTCTCCCTGTAACAAAAACATTCCTACAGATTTTGCCAAAAGTCCATCTGCTGCTATACCTGGAAGTGCAATAATCTCTTAATCCTGTTTATTTAGCAAATAAGTGTTCTTTCTATTATAAGGTTTCTTTATATGTTTTTGCTTAGACTGGTGGGGTGGATATCAGAAAGCCTTCCAGATGTTCCTGGCTTAGATGACATCTTAAGGTCATATACTAGCGAGTCAGGAATCTAAGAAATGTGGTGCCGTTTTCCCTGCCTTGCTCTCTGACCTCAGAGACCAAGGTGAAGATGCACAAGGGAGCTCTAGCTTGCCCTCGCAATGAGTTCACTTCAGCTGATCACTTGATTGGGATGAAATGAAAGAGCTGGAGGTTACCAGAAATACAGTATTTACCTGATTCCAAGAAACCTTTGAATTTAAGGCAACCCCCCCGATAGTTAGTTTCTATACATAAAAAAACGTTAATTTGTTATAATTTTCTGTGTATAGAATCTAACGTGTGAAGAGTCATCTTAAATTTGCCCCCCGCCCCCCGCAGTATGGCAAGAAGCAGCAGGGGAGCAGACAGTGGGGGGCCAAGCTGTGGAGAAGTCAAGTGGCCTGACCCCTGTTCCTTATGGTGAGAATATTTATGGTTTTTGCTGATCACAACAGGGGGCCAGGAAGAATTTCCCCCCTTCCTGTTGCTCTGGGTGTCAGGGCAGGTTTCCACATTTCTCTGAAGCATTGGGTGTTGGCTGCAGCCAAGGCTGAGGATTTTAATAGTCATGTTGACATGGACTGTGTTTGGTGGGAGGCGGGGAAAGGGGAAGAGTGGGAAGTTGCTTTCCTTTGCAGCTGGGAGCATGGTCTTTTTCCTTGGATCTCTTGAGTATGTTTTAACAACAATTTCCTGCCCTTGCAGTGACAGGACATTGACAGTGACATCACCACCTCGGTTTACCTGTAGCATATTAGTGTGTTTGATGTTTGGGGTGTTGTGCCTGGTATTTGAATGACAGGGCTGTTTACCAAGTTAGATAATCACTTGGATGGTTTAGATAGGTAGGATCATTCCCTGAGCCAGGGGTTGGACTAGAAAACCTCCTGCGGACCCTTCAAGCCCCACTTTTCTATGATTCTGTGATTCATAGATAACAGGAAGGAAAAGGAATGATGGGATTTTTATGCCTTCCCTTGACTACAGAAGCTTGGACTGTAAGAAAAATGCAACATAACACAAGGCAGTTACTGTAATCATAGGAGCTGACTGCACCTTGATTGGCTCCATAGCTCCTAAACAGATACTTTGATATTAAAAAGAAAATTGAACAGAAATATTAAACAGAATGAATATTATAGCACTAAAACTCTGTGTCCAGTCACTTTCAAGGGCACTTCAATAGCAGCTTAACAGCATTGGTAAAAAAGATAGTATGTATTTCTAGAATGTCTGTTACCTATGGCCCCCGACACACATTACATTTAAGACCAGGATTAACAAGTTAACTGCATCTTATAGTAACCCAGCCACACTGCAAGTCAGTTTAAGGCATGAAAACCCAGTAAACAAGCCACAAAGTTATTTCATATATAATGCATAATAACTTTGTGGCTAATTTTATGACACCTTAAATTTTGCACGTGTGGCCACCCAGAATCTGTCAAAGGCCCATATGCTGCCCAGCTGGACAGCACACATGATTTTATAGGTCCCGGACACAGGGGGAGTTGGGTATTGGTCTGTGGCTGCCAGATCCCAGTGTCCTGTGTGCTGCCCAACTGGGTGGTACATGCAGCTCTTTAGCTCCCAGTGCACAGGGAGACCATCATCAAGCTGCCACAGGCCAATGCTTAACACCACATATGCCAAGCTGATTGTTGGCTGGGCCTGGGGACCAGTTTGATTCCTAGCCCAATTGACAATCAGTTCATTGGTTTCACCTTGCTGGTACGGGGGAGCCCAGACTCATGTATCCAGGCTTCCCCTGTACTAGTAAATCAGATGAGATTGGGACCTAATTCCTAATCCCAAAATCATGTGTCCTACCATGCACATGTGGCCTGGCAGGACATGAGAATGTTGGATCAAGCATTAGATCCCATCATGTCTTAAAGTGAACGTCGTAAGGTTCCTATGTGCCTGAAAGCAACTTGGGGAGGGGGTGGAAATCCATTCCTGTATGGTGACTAAATTATTACACCCATCATACAGGTGGTAAAATTGAGGTACAGATAAAAGGATTGATTTGCCAAAATCCCAGAGCAGTTCAACTGCTGAGCTAGGAATAGAACCCCTGGGTCTTTTCCCCATGTGCTAGGCTCCATCACTTCTCTAACTGAACCCCTTTCCTCTCCAACCTTGTGAAATAATAAGGAATCAGATATTGCTGTTAGCACAAATATTTGGCTAAAAGATCTAGCTAGCACATATATATTTGCTGCCTTAGCAGCATACTAATTACCAAGCAAAGAGTTCCATGTACTTCAAGGAATAGAAAATGCATCTATTTTCAGTGCAGCTTTCCATTGACAGACCTTTTACTGAGCTCAGTCTGCTCCCACAGAAGTCAATGGGAGTATTACTATTTTTCATAGCAGACTCTCTCCACTATTGAGTGCTTCACTAAATGACAACAGATATCCTTATTCCTGCTCTTTGTCTGGCTGTAGCTTGGCCCAAATGCAGCACTATACTATGCAAAAACACTGGCTAGTCTCACTTTGATATCAGAAGACAAGAGGAAACTTCAGAAAGGCACTGGCTGTTCCTGTCAGCTTGTGTGATTGAACATTCCTAGGTGCTTTATAACCTTCCTTGAAAAGACCACCCAGAGTGAAGTCTCAGACTAATAGAGTTGAATTACAGGCATAGCAGAAGGCTGGTTCTACTGATTATCTTTCTTCAGTACATGGCAGTTACTGGGATTTTGCAAAGTCCTTTCAGGTCCTCATATGATTGTTACTTTAGACCATAGTTTCTTAACCTGTGGTACGCGTACCCCTGGGGGTACATGAGACACAGGCAGGGGGTACGTGGGTACCCCAGCACTCTCTTGCCCTCTTTTCCTCTCTCCCTCTTTCCCTCTCTGTGTCACCCTCTTTTCCTCTTAAAACTATGGGAAAAATTTTAAATTCCCCAGTAATAATCTGGTGTGCCGCGCTTTGCGTGGCACTGGGTTCAACCCTCCTAGCTTTGGGCAGCATCACCTCTAACCCAGGTACATACTTGAGTTGTGCACCCCGGTGTAAAAGGTGGCAACCCTATCCACACTAGATCAGACATCTGTCATATCATGGCCTGATGTACACAGCCCTTCTTCCAACATATAGCACACATAAGCCTGTAAATATAAAATCCCCTGGAAAATTGAGTGTTGGAGTACTTATTAAAATTCTCAGAAGTTAGCAGTTTTCCTGCTTAAAAGTTGAGAAACACTGCTTTAGGCTGCAGGGGAGGGGGGTGATCATAGATGCATTAGCCTAGTGTGGAACAGCCACAGTGAACAGGACCATTTACAGGGATCTGATGCAATCTGAGGGAAACAGCTCCCCCAAATACATTAGTAATATGACTCAAAGAAGGAATTTTCTGGATAAGTTTGCAGTTCTGAATTTAAAGTGCCGCCTTTTGCTACCATCCCAAGAAAGTGCTCAGTACAGGATCCTGTGCCTGCCACTGCACGGCAGACCTTCACAGCGCTTCCCAGAGAGGAGGGCGGTTTAGCCTCAGAAGTGACCAGAGCGTGGCTCCATATGTTAGCAATCTCCCAGGAATGTAGGGAATGTGTATACATATGGCCACATTCCTGAAATTTCACTAGAGGGACAGATTTCACAATGCCCTCTGGGGGGTAGGCTCCACAGGAGGGTTGTTCACCGAGGCTGGCATTTGTATCGGAGACTGTTTGTGTTTGCATGTATCATTAAAACTTTCATAGAGGCAAAGCAGGCAAGTTGGGCATTCCAAAAGGAAGCAATAAAAGCCACTCATCTCCCCTCTTTCATAACCAAGAGTTTTATTTCTTGCTTGTTAGAGTAACTGCGTTTATAGAGTAATAGTAATTTGCAATGACTATTTGGATAATGATAATCAGATTTGTTTACAGAAGGCTTTGCCTGCAAAATCCAGTACTGATTACTGGCAGAACTCTGTTGTAGCTATCTATTATTTTAAATCAGATTTAGATCTAACCTAATCATGGTAAAGATTAAATAGAGCTAAAACTTTATTCTCTAGTGCCTAGATGCCAGGATGCATGTTGTCCTGAAAGCACTTGAGGTAGATAATAGACAAAAATCAAACCAGTCCCTCTGCACATGTTGGCTGGGTTTCTGACTCAGACTCTAGTACCAAACTGATGGGGTGAATTGGGCCTTGGTGTAAGCCCATGGACTTTGGCATCAAGGCAGGAAGGGGGTGGGGTAATATTTTTCAGAAAAGTTGGCCTTTGCTTGAGCTCTCAGGATGGAAACAGGCATGTACAAAGTGAAAGCAAACAGGTTTCCATATCTTCTGTCTCTCCATAAATGCTCCCATTTTTGGCCATGACAAATTGGGCTGCTTTATTGTGTCTCCTGTGTTTGCTTATGGCAGGAGAGCTGAGGCAGAATGAAGCTGCTGGTGCTCTCCAGCCTCCCTAGGGTAGGGGCTCCACAGGCTTGAGGGGCCTGGTCCTGCAGACCTTGGGAACTCCTGGGCAGAACTCAGGCTTCAGGGGGGCCTGCCTTGCTTTCCCCACTTACCCAGATGCAGCCCTCCAAGGAAGTCTCTGGGTAAGCATGGTGAAAAGTTGGGGCTTTGGGATGCATATCTGCAAGTGGGGGGTTTCTGTTTGCAAACACCCCATAGAGGGGGTAGGGAAATTCGTCTGCAGGGGATTTCCTGACACACAGTGTCAACACAGTGTGGGGATGCCCCATACGGGAGTCCCCCCTCTGCATTTGCAGCCTGTGCACCACACTACTGCCTGCTGGCAACCCAGCACGCATTCCTGGCAGCAGCACGGAGTTTACAGAGGGGTTACCCTGTGTGTGTCTGAGGGGAGAGTGCAAATCCCTCTGCCTCCCTTCCTGTTTGTGCTTTTGGTGGGGGGGGGGGGAATTCTTCTGCGAAATCCTTCTGCAAGCATTTTCCCCATATGCATTTGCAAGCGCAGAGGAGTTAAGGCCACTGGGTAACCCTTGTAGCTGTAATTCACAGTGGGCTTCCTGTGCTGGTTAGCTGTAGTCATTAACACACCAAAGTTAGTCCCAGGGCTGAAGGACAAAACCTTCGAAACAGTACCTTTTTGGGTAGAGACTGGCAAGTGTTTGACAGCAGTGATGTGAAGTCCCAGAGTTAGTATGCTTATTTCTTAAGAGTTTATCTAAACTTGGGCTGATCTCGGGTCATAGAGCAGTAGCATGATCAGCACACACTGTGACTGGTTCAAATCTGTATGCCCAAGAATCTGTATACACCAGTGTGCTGAGATCCTGGATGCAAAATTGGGATATGTCCAGTCCCATTTTAAACTCCCAGATTTTGCATGAACCCTTTACCTACAGAGAACTCCTGCAGTTTCCCAGCGCTTAACATAATACGTTCCAGAAGGAGGAAGACAGAAAGACCTGTACAGGGAAGGCTGAGTGGGCACAGGACGTACACAGCACAGACAGACATGACAGGAGCCATTGTGCTTGCATAAAATGGTGGCGGCATGTGTAATTCCTCTGACTGCGTTGCATAAATCAGGCTCGCTCCCAGATCCTACTATGCCTTGGGAAAAGATGTGCATGCACTGGTCTCAACCTGTATGCGAATACTGTCCCATGTGCAAGAGGAAGCAGACCTGTGCTCAGCATCCACTCAGATACACTTCTGGGCTGTTCAGCCCCACCTTGTCCCAGTACTCCGGCAAACTATAGCTCCCTTCTGCCCAGAAAAAAGCTTCTCCATATACCTCTAAGGTACATGCATGCCACACCCATGACTGGGGTTTGCCAGCCAGACATGAGCATCCATGACAACATTTTAATGTTTAGGCAGCCTCCCCACCCCCACAAATGAATCCTTGAATCATGGAGGGATGTCCAAGGGGAAGCAAGCCTCCTGCTAATAGGCCAGTTTTTACCCTCGTTCGTCTTTATGAAAATACTACTATTTGCAGTTTGACTGGCCACAGTCTTCCAGGAAAGATGGACTTTTAATAGCTTACCTCGCGGCTTGGAAAAAAATGCTAACAACATATCTGGACAAATAACATTTAGTGCTTGGCCATTATAACCACCCCAACCCCCTGCTTCCTTTTCTCTGTTCCATTTTAATACCATTTTCTCAAATATGGTATTTGAGAAAATGGTATTTCTCAAATACCATTTGAGAAATACCATATTTCTCAAATAAGTAAGGGAATAACTACTTATGGTCAATAATCACACAACTGTTTCTCTACCTACCAAGTTAAGTAAGAGTGAGTGAAGTTCATCTTTCTCGCACACAGGTTTATTCACACCCAAGGCTTAATAAAATACCATACAGTCTGCATGTCAACATGCATTCAACAATGACAAGTGCTAAGCCCTGCACTTGGGATGTAATACTTGTATGCACAAATACATACAGGGGAAAGACTGGCTAGGCTGCAATACTGCAGAGAAGGACCTGAGGGTTACAGCAGATGTTGAATATGAACCAACAGTGTGCTCTTGCAAAAAAGGCTAACAGCATATTGGGTTGTATTAACAAGACTGTCACTTGCAAATCAAGGGAAGTGATTCTTCCACTATTCAGCACTATTGAGGCCTCACCTGGGGTACTGTGTCCAGGTTTGAGCCCCACACTTCAAGACTTATGTGGGTGGCTTGGAGAGAGTCTGGAAAAAGCAACAAAAATGATTAGCAGCTTGTGAAGAAGGACTTATGAGGAAAGGCTGAAAGCACTAGGGTTATTTAGTTTGGAGAAATGAAGACTGAGGAGGAATTTGATAACAGTCTTCAAATACTTGAAGAGTGATTATAGAGAGACCGGAGATGGGCTTTTCTCTGTAGCCATAGGGAACAACAGCAATGAAAGCAGTATACTGAATGTAGAGGGTAAGGGCAGACCACAGGATTTACTGGGACAAGAACCCTGTGATGTATTATAAAATATCCTCAGCAAAAAATGAAAGTGCAAGGTGTTAATTGCTCTAATTCCATATGCTGAGATCCTGCTCCAGTGGAAGTCAGTAGCAGTTATTCCACTGAATGTAATGGCTTTGGGGCTGGTATAACCTGTGTTAATTTTGGTGCAGCAGTCAACAGATGTCACAAAAGCAGGACAGCATTTGAGGCTTGGTCATGTCTGCCTTGTGTTAGAGAGAGATTGGCTTGTAGATCCAAAAACTAGAAGGTGGTTTCCTGTAATGTTTAACTGCTGTCTTCCACAGTCCAAACCTGCAGTGTAAGATGCATGAATGGTGGAAGCTGCAATGAGGAGTCCTGCCTCTGTCAGAAAGGATACACTGGAACTTATTGCGGGCAACGTAAGTGCTCTCTCTCTCTTTTTTTTATTTTTGTTTTTTTGTTTTTGGGGGTTTTTTTTGTTTGCTTGTTTGTTTTTGTTTTTCTTTGGACATCCACATGGCCTTTGAACTGAATTGGAGTGCTGTGTTCATGAGGCCAAATAAATTGCTTTCCCACTGTGTTACCCTGCATACAGTGGCATTGTCTACTAGCCACTTCAATCGGAACATCATCCGAGCTCCAGTCCTCACTCTGCATTTGAGTCAGGCTACTTCCTTAATCTCAGCGTGGTGTCAGCATGGGAAACATTGAGGGCACAGACTCATTGAGGACATGGTACTCAGTTCTGATGCCCAGTAGTTACTTCCATATAGACATTGGATTTATGACATTATAACCTGCCTGACATCTGACTCTGCAGGCAAACCCTCCACTTCTTACCAGCTATTCTCATTCTCTCCCCCGCCACTCTCCTGTCTCCCATCCTTTGACTACAGCTGCTTTCGTTCCCCGCCCCAACCTGTCTCTCACCTACTGACCACCTCAATTTTATATTGTCACTGACTGTCTTTCTTGCATATATACTGGCCTAAGGCTGCTTTACCACTCCATCCAGGAAAAGCAAAGACCATCTGCAGATGCCTAACGAAGGGTGTTTGTACCTGAAAGCTTGCTAAGAAGAATTTTTCCAACTATTTCAGTTGGTCTAATAAAAGATATCGGATTTATCTGCCTATGTCCTTAGACCAACATGGCTACAGCCTACACCAGGGGTGGGCAAAATGCGGCCTGGGGGCCAGTTGCAGCCTGCCAGGCCAAGGCGGCCGGGGGGCCATTTGCAGCCTGCCAGGCCATTCTATCCAGCCCGCGGGACCCCTAAAAAATTTAGAAAATGAATATTTATCTGCCCCTGGCTGCCTATCATGTAGCCCTCTATGGCTTGCCAACACTCAGTAAGCGGCCCTCGGCCCAAAATAATTGCCCACCCCTGACCTATACCCATATGCAGATTAATGAACAGTCAAGTGGGACATGAACCCAGGGGCCCCTACCAGTTTGCAGCCCTGGCCCCGGGATCCTCATCAGCAGGGAAGTGAAAGTCACAGTTTTAAACTCCACACCAATTTTTGGCACCAAGTTTAAAACTGCGGCTGTCCCCTTTGCTTCCCTGGGAGCTCGAAGTGGGGCTCCTCCGCCATTGGGGTGGAGTTGGGCCAGGCTGGGGTCAGGATGGGAGAGCCGTGCCGTGCCTGGGGGAGGGAGGCGGGCCGGGTGGCACCGCATCTGTGGGGGAGGGGGCCGAGCCAGGCTGGGAGGGCCGCACCCCACCTGGTGTGGGGGGGTTTGGGGCTGGGCCATGAGCACAGCATTGCACTGTGCCTTTGCGGGCAGCAGTGCTGGGAGGGCCTCGGGGGCTATAGCCTCCCAAAATTCATCTTAGCCCCCTGTAGCCACCCCTTCCAGTGCTGCTGCCTGCCCGCAGAGACACAGTACAGTGCTGCATCTGCAGGGCTGCACGGGACAGCCGGGCAGGCAGGGAGTGAGACTGAGAAATGGGGGGCTCACAGCAGGGGTGCGGGGGGTGGAGGGCTGCCTCCATCTGATCGAGAGTGTGGGAGGGGGGAGGTCCTGTGAGAGGAAAGCGTGTCTGTGTGCGTGTGTGTCTGTGTCCATGTGCAGAGTGTGAAAGTAGTGTGTGTACCTGTGTCTGCATGCCCACATGTGTGTGTATGGCTGGCCATAGTGGGGGCAGGGAGAAGTGGTGGGCATGTGCCCCCAGCGTGGTGGGATCCACCCAGCCTCCCCTGCCAGCACTAGGAGGGGAAGGGGCCCAGCTCCCATGGGCGGAGGGGGCCTCCTATTTTGTGCTTTCCCAGGGCCCCAGTACACATTAATCTGCATCTGCCTACACCCCTGAAGCTAAAGAATACATGCTACAGCTGATATAGTTTTTTAAAACATCTTTTCAATGAAAAATTATTTCTTAAACAAAATAGAAATATGTATGAGGAACTTTCATTTTGGTTGAAACTATCTGGTTTTCTTCAATAATAAAAGAATAGCTTTAAGCCTGAAAGTGAAAAAATGAGGGGGAGAAAAAAGGAAAACAGAACCAAAATTGTTTGTTTAGTATTGAGAAACTTAATTTTGTACAAAATCCAAAAGCAGGAAACTTTTACAAAACCTAAAAGTTTTGAGGTTTTGTCTTAATATTTTGTTGGGAGGGGGACGGGACTAAGTAGTTTTGGAGCAAATTGGGGAAAAAATGTGTTTCCTGTTAAAAAAAAAAAAAAAAAAAGCGCTTTTTGCTTTTATCATCTCTAGTGTTCAATGAAGACAGAATTGGCAGCCAAATTTTCGGCAGGTCATTAGCAAACCCCTAAAGAGCAAGTACAAATAGCAAATTTCTCTGCCAAATTCAGATCTCTGTGTCAAAGTCTTCAGGCACTAAAGTTTTGCAGGGAAAGGATTGTAAGAATTTCTTAATATAAGCAATGCAGTGTATTTTCCCAACCTGATTCTCAGCTGCGAATGATGATTTTTTGATTTTTTTAATTTTTTTTTTTGCTGGCACTTGCCAAACATTCAGCCTAAAATAGATGTGCTGTAAAGGGACCAACCTTTATGTGTGCCTGTAGGCCACCTCCTGGCAGCCACCCAAAACCCATTCTCACCATAGTAGTGCCCTGTTACCCCACCTGCCATGCCTTGCTAGTAAATGTATATGAATTTAGGAGACTTGCCTCAAAAACCAGAATGAGATCATAGGTGCCTCACCCCACCCTGCTCATCATCTGGGTGCCTCTGTCTGGTCTGAACTTTTAGCCTTGTCCATTTGAACAGGGCACCTTTCCTTTCAATTAGTCTCAGCCATCTGTCTTAATCAATAGCCAGCCTCTTTCTCCAGCACCTTGTTAACACTCCTTCAGGGTCTTACCTAGGTAGCCTCAATGATTTTGCTGGGCTCCTATTCTCTGCAAACCAAATAATCAACAATGTCCTCACCACAGTGCCTTTTTGTGGCCCCCACAATCTCCTCCTAGCCACCCTCTGCCTTGCAGCAAACAGAAACCCTGCACAAAATCATAAGCAAATTTATATTCCTGCGTGTCACTTTCCAGCAGAGATGTGGGGGGTGGAAAATATGCTGCAGAAAATTTTCCGGCGCTTTATTTTTTTGTGGGAAATGTTCCATTTCTAAAAATTATTTGTTTCATAAAATTCATTATAACAGTGAATGGATGCCAATACAATATTAGGCAAGCATGGCAGTTTCAAAGTTGTAATTAATGTTTTTCAGGTGATTACCCCTGGGAAGCATGTGAGAGGGTACATATATGTTTTATTGATTTGTAAACAGGAGGGTAAATGCACTCACACAGTAATCCGAACCAAAACTCAAGTTATGAATTCACCTAATTGGCTGTGCGGGTCAAATCGAAACCAAAGCACAGCACATCATGTACAGTTCTTTGGGTGTGCTAAAATTAGCATGTCAATAGTTTTCGGTGCCTTTGTTTTTTTTTTTTCTTAAATTTAAACAAGAAACATAAGGGAAGTACATGCTATTGTGTATTGTCTTTACATTTTTACAAGTATTCCAATAAAAATAATTTCTTTCCACATAAAGCTTTGGATTTGTTTGAATATAACATTTAAAACACATTAAGTGTGCTGTATTTAATTTTTTTCCTAATCAAATAGTTCAGTTCAAATACTTGTGGCTATTGGGACATAAAATTAACATGGGGGTACTTTTTTTAGTTTTGTTTACTAAATATTCGAATATTATAAAAGCCTAACTCTGTCCATCTGTCCATAACGCTTTAGTCACGCTCTGATTGGCTGATGGAAACAGCCAATCAGAGTGCTCCAAGTGTGGGGAAGGGCAGCCATGATTCTGAAGCTTTGCCTAGGACCAGACAGAGGGTGGGGGAGCCAAGGCCAGCAGTGCTGGCCTCAACTCCCCCACCCCGCTCCATGCAAGAGGCAGAACAATGGTAGCATGGGTCATTAGGTGGCGGCACTCCATCCCAGCCCCCTCCTGCCCCCCATCATTCTTGACAGGCAATTGGCTAGCAAGTCAAATAAACGTGCTGAATCAGATCATGCTCTATTTAGGGCATTGGAAAAATTACTGGGAAATTTTCTAGAAAATTTTTCAATTCAAATTTTTCCAGAAAACCCACATCTCTGCTTTCCACCCCTGCGGAGCT